AAGGAAGGAAGGAAGGAAGGAAGGAAGGAAGGAAGGAAGGAAGGAAGGAAGGAAGGAAGGAAGGAAGGAATATGGACATCAGTTGGGGAAGGGAGGGAGGGAGGAAGGGAGGAGGGAGGGAGGGAGAGAGAGAGAGAAGGTATATACATCATAGGTGTATAAAATTCTCAAAGAATAAATAGAAAATACATGAAAAAGAAGTTCAGAGCAATCTGAACTGAAAGTCTAAGACCAGTCCAGGAATACAAGACCATGTCTCAAACAAACAAACAAACAAACAAACCAACAAACAAACAAACACCTCAGAGTTACTCTTGATGCTCTTACAGAAGAACTGGATTTGGTTCCTAGCATTCATATAGTAGCTCAGAACCATCTGTTAGCTCCATTTCTACGGGATCTAATGCCCTCTTATGACTACCACTGGTACCAAGTATGCACATAACATACATGTAAGCAAAATACTTATACACATAAATCTTTTAAAAAAGTGAATACACTGAACCCCATAATCACCAACATTTTTAAGCAAAGTTTTAAGTTCTGTGTTTATCTGTTTTGCTTTATGACATGGGGTCACTATATAGACTACATTATCTTCAAACTTGCTATGTTGTTCAGGCCATCCTTAAATTCAAAATTTTTCTAGGTCCCCCTTTCAAGTGTCAAGGTTACTGGCAAAAGTCATCTTCCCTGATTAGTATTAAGATAGTGTTTTAATATAGTCATTTAAATGTGAACTTGGATTTGATCTCTAGTACTTCAAGGGAAAAAAAAAAAGACTGTAGGGTTAGTGGCTTAGCACAGTGGTAGACCACTTATCTATAAGCACCAAGTCCTGGGTTCAGTCCGTAGCACTGGGGTGGGATGGTGGGAGGCAGAATAAAAAGCAAACAAAAAGGAGAGGATGCTGAGGAAGATCATGTATTTGAGGCCAGTGTTGGATTACATACTGAATTCTAGCTCAATCTTAGTTTTAATTATTGAGACCCTGCAAACAACAAAAATGCAAATTGAAAAGAAAATAATAAAGAAATGTGTCTATTTATAGTTCTGTGGGAAAAAAACCCTCTGGTCTTTAGAGTCTTTTTTTTTTTTTAACATAACAGAATTAAAAGTCAAGCGCATACCAAGGATCAATTAAATTTAAAGATGTAAATAGATACTTAATGTTCACATACTGTCTAGTTAACACTGTAGGACATTTACCTTCTTTCATTCAACTAGTCACTCAGTTAAAACACATGCTTACTTGTTATTGGCTGGTCCTGATGCCAAGACATCGGACTGTAACTTTGGAAAGAACCCTTGCTCATATTTGCCTTGGCCGATTTTCATATCAAGTAGATGTGGGTGAATTGCAGTATGATCCATTTTCATCAGTCTTTGTTCAATTGACTGGGCTATAAATTAAATTTATAATAAATTAGAGGCATTTCATTCCTAAAAAAATGCTGTATCATACATTCATGTACCTAGAGAAAACTCAATTCATCCTGCCACTCTGAAACAAAGTTTACAAAGGTCTTTGGTATCAGAAACATGAGTATAGAAAGATTAATTTTGCCAGGCGGTGGTGGCACATGCCTTTAATCCCAGCACTTGGGAGGCAGAGGCAGGCGGATCTCTGAGTTCGAGGCCAGCCTGGTCTACAAAGCGAGTTTCAGGAAAGGCGCAAAGCTACACAAAAAAACCCTTTTTTAAAAAAAAAAAAAAAAAAAAAAAAAAAAAAAAGAAAGAAAGAAAGAAAGATTAATTTTAAGTAAATATTGGAAATATTACATATATATCTACAAGGAGCGTAAAACAATGTAACTTTTTAATAATCATATTTCTAGGGAATATTCAGAAATTATCAAATGCCTGCTTTGTGAGGTCAGAGGTTTGGTCTACTGTTAAGACTTTCAAGGGTTTGTGTCAATATTGATTTGTGGTGATTGGTGAGGAAAAAGAAAATTATATTACTATCCCTTTCTTGTTTTTCTACATAGAAATCACAAGGCTCTGGAGCCACAGTATCAGCAGCAGATAGTCTGTGCCTCTTGGGTTCGCCTGCAAATCAAAATTCTTTTTGGTTAGAGGAAAAACAGCAGCAGAAACACATAAACACAAAAACACCAGTACCAGAAACAACACCCATCTCTATGTCCTTTTCTTTTTTCTTTTTTTTGGGGGGGGAAGTGGGGGATACAATTTTACCAATGAAAGAAATAATGGAGCCAGGCCTGGTGGTACAGGCCTGTAATTCCAGCTAGTCAGGAAGCCAAGGGAGGAGAATTGTGGGTTCAAGGCTTTCCTATGCCGTTTATTGAGACTGTCTCAAAACAAAGAAGTATAGAAAGTACGCATGCATGTATGCATGCATGCATGTGCTGTGTGCACCACACTAATCTATGACAGATGGGGAACCACAGACAGCAGTCTCCTTTTACTTTTTCAAGTCTTTAAATTCCTGGGGAACTATGGCTTTAACCTAATCTTATTTTCATGCATGCTAAATCTATAATGGTATATTTTCAAAAGTGCTTCACACAATTTCTGAGATGAGGGTGGGATTATCAGGCTCCAAGGAACAAAGAGAAAATCCATTTTAATTGGTAAGATTTCCCAGATGCATGTTAAGCTAAGGAATTGGTACTTCATTCCATTTTAAAAATTCTTCCAGAAAGAAAGGAATGGAGCTTTCCCAATGAGGTATTCACATAACTATTAAAAGCACTGGAAATCACAATTCTCTGAACAAACAACTTCATTTATTCTATCTCCTTGGTTTCTAGAAACACACAGATTCTTGCCACTTCCTGAAGGGATTCCAATGAATTGCCCTTATACATAGGAATACAACAGGGATGCTTTGAAGACTGCATACAAGTTATCATTTAATATTTTTTTCATTAAAAATGCTAATACAACTTTATTCCTCCTGTGACTGAGCTACTTAAATGAAGATGGAAAGGAAGGTAAGCACGCAACAGAAGCACAGCAAAAAAGCTGCAAAGCCGCTGTGTCCTTTTTATCCAGTACAAAACTTGGTTTCAAAAAAAAAAGCGTCACTTTTTTTTTTTTTTTTTCTGAGACAGGTTTCTTTATGTAGCCCTGGCTGTCCTGGAACTAGCTATGCAGACAGGCTAGCCTTGAACTCACAGAGATCTGCCTGCCTCTGTCCCAAGAGTGGGGATTAAGGTGTGCGCTACCACCGCCCAGCAAAAGTGTCATTTTTTATTGAATGGAAAGAAATAAAAGGATATATATTTCTATTCAGCAAAGAATGGGTTGGGAAGTAGGCATAAATGTGTAAAACTACATGAATTGGTACATTTTACATATTTGTTAATGAATAAAACCACTAATAAAAGAATAAGGCTCTTGGTACTAGAAATCAGTCAGATCTGGATCAAACTCATGGCTCCATCAAGAACTAATTATAGAACCACAACCAAATTCTTTACCCTCTCAGTTTCCTCCTCACCACAGAATGACGGTGATAAAGCAATAACAGAAATCAGTTGTGCACACACCTGTCATTAAGATTACATATAAAAAGGCATATGAAGACAAACACTGGCACAGTGACTGGAACATAGGAAAGACTCAAATGTTGACTATTAGTAGGATTATTTATTTAACAGAATGTATTTCATGACCACTCAGACCAGGAAAATTCACCATTCTTTAAAGGAAATTGGTGTTAGGGCTGGGGGAGCCTTTAATTTGAATGGAAAAATCCAGAGATTTAATTTCAAGACATGAAACTATGTAACTATACCACAAAGCAAATATGTACTGTTTTAGTTACGTAAACTAGACAGTGTCTCAGATTTCCTTTTGGTTTTGTTTTTATTTTAGACAAAATCTTGCTACATTACCCAGGCTGGCCTTAAACTCCTGGTCCTTCTATCTTGGCTTCCGAGTGCTAGGATTCAGGCATGAACCATTATGCCCAGTTTTAGGTTAACTACATTAAGTTAACGCCTAGAGACATGAGGTGACAGGTAAAGAGCCAGCATCAACAGCAAGACAGAAATTAACACTTTTTCCTAACACAAGAAAATAACAAAAATCTGCATATTTTGAATGTCTATAGAAATAGGGATTCACAGAAATCTGAAGTATAAAAATACTTCTTGATAACACCAGAATTAGTCACGATGTCCCAAAATAAAAATTAACTTTAGCCGGGCAGTGGTGGCACACGCCTTTTATCACAGCACTTGGGAGGCAGACACAGGCAGATCTCTGAGTTTGAGGCTAGCCTGATCTACAGATTGAGTTCCAGGACAGCCAGGGCTACACAGAGAAACCCTGTCTCAAAAAAAAAACAAAAACAAAAAAACCCCCAAAAAACAAAAAACAAAAAAGAGAGGGAGGAAGAGAGGGAGGAAAAGAAAAGAGGGGAAAAAAAAAGAAAGATAATTAACTTTGTGTTGTATAAGTCAACAGTCCATAAAAAGAAATGATCATGGATTTTTTTTAAAGGCATGGTAAATATACCTGCTTCTTTTAAACTGCTGCATTTCTGATATATAGATGTCCGCAGGGTGGGTGTAGGTGCCCTTACATTATACAATCTTATCTTTTCAATCCGAGAATCAAAGACCCGAAGCAGAGGGTCTTTCTCTTCCCATTGAGACATGATTTTGTTATCAATAAAGGTGGCAAACATCTGTGTTTCAATGAAGCGTGAAAGAAATGGCAGGTAAGGCTCAGGCTGGTCGGAGAGGAAAGAAGCCTGTAATGAGATAATTAGCAAAGTCTTGCTTTAATGAGGTCATCTTAATATTCTATAAGATGAACACGAACAGTCTGTTGTTAAGGTTATTACTTTTCAAACTTATAACACATAAAACTGACACTTGACATTTAAAGTCTTGTAAATCTGTTTTTCCTTTTCTCTAAATTTATAGATTTTTAGGTCACTTAGGACTTTAGCATTGATCTTACCTTTGAAAACTGATTTATATTAGTATCCTGATGACCATTATGCAGAAGAGAGGACATCATTAATGAATGATGGTCGATAAATTGTTATACAATGGATTATCAACCATTCACTTCACTTACCATTACATTTTGAATCTTCTTCCCAGTGGGTAATCTCTCCAGTTCTCTGTTCCTAGCCTAGGAAATGAACCTCTAACCAAAAGGCCATAAGACGAGTAACTGACTATGTGTGTATATAGTGTCTATGGGTGAAATTCTTTTGGTCATCAGGCAGATGTTTTTCTAGGTTCACTCTTCTTGTTAACTCAAGATTAAACTCCTTCCATACTTATGTTGACACAATTGTCTGAGACTTAAAAAGAGAAAGAAAACATTGCCTAAAAAAAAAAAATCATACAAGTGGATCTTCAAAAATGTACAAGCCGTTCTTCCCTCTTACTTGTTTGATGCAGTAAATTATAACTGGCTTCTAACCTAAGTGTTCACATTTTTGTGTTCTCTTTAGGTTCATGTATGATGTATGTAGGAATTCTAATCTTGGTTAAGATGAGCTGAAACTTGTAAGTGAATTCCTATTCCAGTTACTGGGTTGGTTTTGTTTTCCATTTTTTTTTTTAAACTATTCAAAGTTAGATGCAGTGTGTCAGAGCCAAAAGGAGAAAGATGGATAGTTCCAACATAAAGTTATTATTTTTAGTATTTATCAGGTTTCTTCCAAGCATATTTAATTTTTACATTTTATTACTTCAGGGGATTTTTAATAAAAGCTTCATTATATAATCCACTTTTCAATTTAAGTGCTTCCATATATTTGTACTTATATAAGTACAAATATCCAGGTGGACTCATAGTAGTCTCTAGAAATCAGTTCATCTCCTTAATGTTATTTCATAGATAAACATCAAAGTTACTTTTTATAGGGCAGATATAGCCCCCCTTTTGAAAATGGGCCAAACAATCTGGCTTTTCATGTTCAGATTCTTGTGTTCTCTAAGATTTAAAATCAACCAGAACTTGGTGTTCAAGACTACTATGCTCTGCATATTTCCTCGGTGAAAAATAAGATGACTCTAATCTTCTGGAATCCAACATGAAATTTTCAGTTTCTTAGGGGTTATACATAAAGAATTACACTTCTAGTATGAAACTACATAAGAGTAAAAAAAGAACAAGGTACTAGGATATGAACTTAAATCAAAATTTGAATTGCCTCAAAGATAGATCATGAATGTATAGGATTAGTTCTTAAACAGGAGAAAAAGTATAATAAAAACTAAGCAAAAATGAGAACAGGTCCTAGAGAAGAAATATATTTGAAAAGTGACTTCTTAATACTAAAGAAGTTTAATCAGGCATAAAGTACACCAGCAAATTCTGATGCACATAGTATATTATCCCCCATAAGAAAAAATATGACCAAGTCAGAAAATAATCTTTGATACTACACAAACATAAATACCTATCTGTCAGATGCTCCACAATTAAACACTCAGCATCTTGGAGTGTGATAGCTCCTTTGGGAGGTCTTTCATGACATATCCTAACAGCAGAATTATGCTTGTTCAGTAACAGAGGCAGAGGACTGAACTGCATCCCGGTGACCTAAAGGCCTTCATATACATCTCTAGTGTTTTTGTCTGTTGGAGAAATCTGGGGGTACATGAAGAACACTGGACAGAATACAGTAAACCTTAGAAAGAAGCTTCAGAGGATAGTAATAAGCTGCTACATTTTCTAGTCTCTTTTTCTAAAAACTTTGGAACATAATGTTGGACTAAAAGTCATAAAACCAAATTTACTCACTTGCTCTCTTTTTTTTTCCGAGCTGAGGACCGAACCCAGGGCCTTGCGCTTGCTATGCAAGCGCTCCACCGCTGAGCTAAGTCCCCAACCCTTTTTTTTTTTTTTTTTTCCGAGACAGGGTTTCTCTGTGTAGCTTTGCACCTTTCCTGGATCTCGCTCTGTAGACCAGGCTGGCCTTGAACTCACAAAGATCCATCTGCCTCTGCTTCCCGAGTGCTGGGATTAAAGGCATGCGCCACCACCGCCCAGCCACTTGCTCTCTTTTAAGATACAAAAGATATAAAATTAGGTTTATGAAACTGAACTATTACCTTTACATGAACAAACTGGGTGTTATGTCATTGGGTGAAGACTAAACTATCAGTGAGAATTTCTTAGAAAAGGAACAGGCAGCCGGGCGGTGGTGGTGCACACCTTTAATCCCAGCACTTGGGAGGCAGAGGCAGGGGTCTGTCTGTGAGTTCCAGGCCAGCCTGGTCTACACAGTGAGATCCAGGACAGGCACCAAAACTACAGAGAAACCCTGTCTCGAAAAACTGAAAAAAAAAAAAAAAAAAAAAAAAAAAAAAGGAACAGACTTAATTTTTCTAGACTTTGTCATAAAACAACTGTAAATAAAACTTACAGAAGACTAGTAAGAATCAAGTTCATATATATATGTACATATATACATATACATATATATATGAGATATTATAGCAATTTAATACACAATTCAAAGACCAGTTTTATGAGCCATCTATTTGTTCTTTTGTTTTTGAGACTGGTCTCAGGTTTCCCAGGCTGGTCTCAAACTTACTATGTGGCAGAGGATGGTCTTGCATTCCCGACCCTCCTGCTTCTACCCCCCAAGGATTTACTTTCTTGTAAAACTATTTTATCTAGCATAAAATACTTAATGGGATGGAAAAACCTGTGCTTAAAAGGTTAAAAAGACTAGTAATATAGGCTGTTAATAATCATAAAGAGGAAAACTATGGTTCTTTTTACTTTGTCAAAGTTCTGCATCTGTTCCCGGTTGGTCAGCCAGGACTCCATGTCCTGGGCAGTCTGAATTACAAATGCTTCATAATCTGCAAACATCTGTATAAAGCGGCTGGCAAAGACCTCTCGCAGTTGTACGTTGAGCTGGTAGTCCCTCAATTCTGCCTCTTCACACTGTAATTTTAAATCCTTTTCTTTTTCACTCAAAGAAGCCGTGAGGTCCATTTTTTCCACTGTCACACCAGTCCTATCAGCAAGAGCCTGGAGGCGGGCTATGGTTTCGTTGCCCTTCATTAACTCATACATGCTAATGTTATTGGTGGGGACATTGCCGTTCTTTTTGTCATTAACCAAATCTTTCAGAACCATATTCTTCAGTTTGGTGGCACTCTCACTACAATGTAGGCTCCCCTCAGGAGGAATCCCAAACTGGAGAAGAACTTCAGACAGCTCTTGGATAAGATCCACTTTATTGGGGAACTGTGGGAATTCTTCAGGCAATTCAATAAAATGGTTGTCAATATCCACAAAGCACAGATTGGCCTGAAATGGAAAAAACAAAAATACAAAGGTTTTGTGAATTGTAAAAGACTGACTGATTACAACTTAATGACTTCAGAGGGCTCCAATATTGTAGATCCAGAGCCAAATTATCTTGGGCTATTTTTAGCCTACTAAAATAGCATTATTGCCCACCTGTGATTGGCCTAACATCTTTATAAGTTAGGAATTTAACAATGACCATCCTAAAGGCTAAGAACTGTTGCAGAATATTTGTACATTGTGAAGATATGTTTTTGCCAAGGCACCTTTTGATTGTTTTAATAACGAGCTGAATGGTCAGTACCTGGGCAGGAGAGGATAGGCTGGATTTCCAGGGAGAAAGGAAGAAAAGGCACATGGATTTCACCATAGACTCTGAAGAAGTCAGACATACGGACAGAACAGAGTTAACTGAGACACGTGGCAGAATGTAGATTAAAAAAGACAGGTTAGTTTATGTTATAAGAACTTGTTTGGAACAAGCCTTAAGCTAAGGTTGAGCTTAATTAATATAATTAATAAGTCTCCATGTCATTATTGGGAAGTTGGTGGTACAAAAATACTCGTTACAAAGAATGTCATCAAATAATATTTGAGGCCTATAGCAGAGATTTCCCTGTTTTGCTGTAACCTGCTTACTTAATTTTTCCACCAATGCATTTGAAAAATTCATGAAACTGTTATCACATTAGAACATGGTTATTTGGGGTCATTTAAATCGGAGCTCTCAGGTAAAGGTCACTCATATTTGGCTACAGAATAAACCATCTCTTATTCCCTTTAAGGTGAGAACAATGTTTTTATGGTGACAACTTAAAGTAAAAGAATTTAAAGTTCTAAAATACTGTATTATAAACAGAAATAAATCATACCATGTTTAAACCATTTTAAAATAGAGGATCCCAGGCTAGTCTTGAATTTGCTCTACAGATAAGATGAACATGACCCTGGTCTCCAGTCCTGTCAACTTCCACCTCTCATGCCCTAGGATTTCAGGCACGCACCATTATTATTCTTTACACTGCATTTTTTGGCAGGTATGTGTAGTGTTGGGAATTGAGACTGGGGCCTTGGGCACGCTAAGCAAGTGTTCTCCTGCCCTCTATCTTTTATGATAACCTTCTCAAGGCTCAGAATTTTATGTATGAGTGAGATGCCAAGGATTGTAACAAGGGTCTTCCTCACTCTAAGCCCATGCCCACTACACTGAGCTGCATAAGCCAGAATATGAGTTTCAGAATCTTTTATTCACTAAATTTTTTCTAGTATATAAGATAACTTGTTTTATTATGATATTTTCATAAATTTATACTTTGACCATGTTTGCCTTTCATTTTATTGAATTATCTTCATTACTTTCTGTAGCCAGGGGCTTTTCTGCATACTGCCTGGTCCTGTAGTCACTTACAAAATAATCACTCACAGGCTTATATTAATTCTAAACGTTTGGCCAATGGCTCAGGTTTATTACTAACTAGCTCTTACAACCTAAATTAACCCGTTTCTATTAATCTATATTTCACCACGTGGCTGTGGCATTACCAGTCTGCTGGCATCTTGCTCCTTGGGCAGCTGGATGGCGTCTGTCCTGACTCCACCCTTCTCCCTGAATCTCTGCTTGGATTTCCCACCTAGCTATATTCTGCCCTGCCATAGGCCAAAGTAGCTTTAGTCATCAACCAATAAAAGTAAAACATATTCACAGCGTACAGAAGGACATCCCACATCAACTTCCCCATCTCTATCTCCATTTCCCTCTTTGTCACCTAAATCTGCCCCTCCTTCATGTTGTTAGGTAGCTAATAAGATGTTATCAGGCATGGAGATCACTGAAATAGATCTTCCTTCCATAACTATGTCTGGATGTTACCTCCCATATCCCAATCTCAAGATCCAGAACAGCAGGAGCAGGACACAGGCCAACAACTGATATCCAAGAGGAGCCCTGTGAGAGTCCAGTACCAGTGGCACAGTAGAAGACGCCAGAGGCCTGAGCCAGACCAGTGACTGTGGCAACGAACACTTGCAAGTGAAGATAAATGGACTAAAGGGTAGACTGTGACTCAATGGGCCACACTGCAGCTTCCAGTACAAGATTCTTCTCTTTCTCTTTTTGTTTTTGTTTCGATTTTGTTTTTTTTTGGGGGGGGGGGAGTTGCAAGGGCAGAGGGTGGATCCAAGGGAACAGGGAGATGAGTGAATGCATGATGTGAAATCCACAAAGAATCATTAAAAATTAAAATAAAAAAAAAGATTTAAATATATGAAAGGGAGAAAGGTGGAGGTAGCAAGACTTTTCTGAAACTCACTAAGGGTAAAGTTATTACTTCCTGGTAAAGTATGGCTATTTTATATAGATTATTTATTTTTCTTTAATATTCTTTAATTTACTTGTTACATGATTTTTGGTTGGAGAATGGTGGCACATGCCTTTAATCCTAGCTCAGGAGGCAGACACAGGCCAATCTCTATGAGTTTGAGGCTGGCCTGGTCTACAGAGCAAGTTCCAGGACAGCCACAGCTGTTACATAGAGAAACCCTGTCTCGAAAAACAAAAAAACAAAAAACAAAAAAACAACCAAACAAATAAATAAAATAAAATAAAATCTTTTTCTACATGATTTTTGGTCACAAGAATACTTTCTGAGTTCTATACCTCTGGCTTGAGGCAGAGACATGGTATTCGAAATTGCTCAAAGATAGATATACTCCTGTAAGTTAATCCAAACTGGCCTGTGGATCATCGTGATGACTATTCTTGGTTGTCAACCTGACTCCATCTAGAATCAACTAAAACACTAAAATGGCTGGGCACACCTGTGAGGGACTTTTTGCTTAACTGAATCTTTTCAAGTGGGAAGACTCACTGCTAATCTAGATCTTTATTTTATTTTATTATTTTTTTAAAGATTCATTTATTATATATACATAGTATTCTGTCCGCATATATTCCTGCAGGCCAGAAGAGGGCACCAGATCTCATTATAGATGGTTGTAAGCCACCGTGTGGTTGCTGGGAATTGAACTCAGGATCTTTGGATGAGCAGCCAGTGCTTTTCACCTCTGAGCCATCTCTCCAGCTCCCCTTATCTGGATCTTTGAGATGGGAAGTCCACCTTTAATCTGGGCTATACCTGCGGTTGGCAGCCTGTACAAAGGACATGGGAGAGGGAAGTTTGCTCTCTTTGCCTACTTGATCTCACTCTTGCTGGCAAGTCCATTCCTTCACTGGCATTAGAGCCTACTTCTTCAGGATTCCAGCATATATTGAAGACCAGCTGAGATATCCAGCCTTGTAGACTGAGCAACTACTGGATTCTTGGACCTTCTGTTGATAGACAGCCATTGTAGACTAGCTGGACAATAGCCTTTAAGGCATTCTACTAACCCTCCCTCTAAATAATAATAATAATAATAATAATAATAATAATAATAATAATAATAATAATAAATAATTATTGTACATAATAAATAATATAAAAATAAATGCCCCCCCCCCATTTTATAAGTTCTGCTCCTCTAGAGAACCCTGACTAATTCAATCACCTAGATAGGAAACTGCCTCCCAGGAAAGCTGTCTGTTACACTTAAAATGTATTTAAGAAGATTGGAGAAATAACTATCGCTTTAATGAGATAGGTACTCACATACACCAGAAGCCCTCCCACAAAGCAGTTGTTTATAGATTCTCAATGCTAAGCTTTTGTTCTTTCTAGGAAGGTATAATTTGTTTTCTTTCTTCTCTTTTTAATTTACCTTTTCAGATACAGGCCAAAATTCTAAGTTGTCATACCTCTGAGCATCTTTACTATCTTTCTGAAGCCCCTGACTCCCATGCAGGTGCTAGAAGAATTCCATTGCTGAGTCTGCCCGTTTTGTAACTCAAAACACATCAGTTGCTGATTGGTGGTGGCAAACACCTTTAGTCCCAGCAGGTAGATCTCTGTGAGTCTGAGGCCAGCGTGGTCTACAGAGCGAGTTCCAGGACAAGCTCCAAAGCTACACAGAGAAATCCTGTCTCGAAAAAACCAAAAAACAAAAAACCACATCACTTTCTTATCTATATGGATCTTCCCAGCAACTGATAAGGTTTCCATTGTGCCTACAATAGTTTCTCTCTCAAACTCTAAGTGTCTTTAAGTTTCTTTCTGAGTTGTCTTACTTTATCAATGAGACTAAGGATTTGCAATAGGGGTTCACAGTTCCCTGGTAAAAATGCATTTTTAATTTTATTTATTTACTTTGGTTTTTTGAGACAGAGTTCCTCTATGTAGCCCTGGGTGTCTGACTATATAGACCAGGCTGGCCTCAAACTACCTAGGCAATTGAAATGACTTTGAACCTCCTGCCTCCACCTCCCAAGTGCTCTTACAGATTTGTGCCACTATGCCTAGTTTACTTTCATGCCTTAAATATATATGTACACATATTATTAAACCTAGATTGTGTATGAGAGCTTGTTTTCCTCTCAGTTACCCTCTCAACCTTCCCATTAGGCCCTTCCTCTCCTTACATAGCCACTCTTCTACCTTCATTGTATGTGTGTATGTATATGTGTGTATGTGTATGTATATATATGTGTGTGTATATGTATGTATATATGTGTATGTGCATATGCACTAAAAAATCTAGATTCCACATAAGAAAGAAAACACACACAATATTTGTCTATCTGAGCAGTCTTATTTCTTTAACATGATCTCTAATTTATCCATTTTCTAACAAATGACGTAACTTCTTTTTTGTGGCTGAATAAAGTTCCATTGTGTATGCAAGCCATATTTTTCTTCTTCTTATATCTGTTGATACACAGCTATATTGATTCCCTATCTTGGCTATTATGAATAGTGCATCAATAAACATGGATATGCAGGGATCGCTGAGGTGTTCAAAAGGAAACACATTCCTTTGGGTGTATAGCCAGGAATGCTATAGCTGGGTCATATGGTAGTTCTACTTCTATTTTTTTAGTAATGTCCATGGTGACTTTCATATTAGCT